TAGAGGAGGAGATAGAGCACAGAGATACTGCTAAATATCTCTTGCTGTAAGAGACAGAGCCATAACAAAAATGTGAAAAATGCCAAGATTGCGATAACTTGATCTGAATCCATTTTTGTTCTGTGACTTAAAATGTTTATATTAAAATTTCTTATTTCTCACTTTGCATTATTTGTGGATTGCTAAATATGTTCTTAAAACACTGTTTTTCAGTAATATTTGGTGAAGATGTTGCTTTCGGTGGAGTCTTTAGATGCACTGTTGGCTTGCGAGACAAATATGGTAAGTTAATAACTTGACATTTGAATAGTATTTTTGTAGATGTTTTATTTAAAGATCTTGAAAGTATAGTGAAAAACTACGAGAGCCAGAACTAATGAGACTGCTTTGTTTTCTCCCATTTTTACAAGTTTTCTGCCTTTGACAGGTTACTGTCTTAATACTTTACTGTTGTTCATTTTAGTAGTAAATATTTGAGTTTTCTTTTCCTGACAAATTTCTGTTTTTTACCAGTTATAGCCTTTAAAGATTTAACTATACAAAATATACCAGTTAGATTTTAGCCATATACATACTGTATAGTTGGATTCCTTTTCATTTCTGCAAGCCTACTTTTCCTTCAAATATTTTCTACTTTTAGTTATCTCTAATCTATACCATTTTACATATATTGTATATTCCAAAATAATCTTCATTAAGTGTATTATTTATCATGTCATTTATCTGCCTAAAGAATTTTTTAGTTGTTCCTGCCTTTTTTTTTTTCCTTTTAATTTTATATTAGTTTATTTACAATATTTGAACACATTGTTTTTCATACAGGGCCTTTTCTATTTACTTCACCCCTCCCATCAAATTGTGTGAACTATGATTAACGCCCCTCCCCTGCCCATCCTCACCCCTCTGATTCCAACCTCCCTCTCCCCTTGGATCTTCATACTCATTCTACAATAATGGTTTTATACAGTATTTGTCCTTATGAGACTGAGTTAGTTCACTCAACAGTAATGTTTTCAAGTCCCTCCCATGTTAGGTAGTAATTTGCAAAATCATTGCTCTGCATGCTGGGTAGTATTGTATTGTAGTATTGTACATTGTGTGAATGTACCATAATTTCTCAATCAGTTTGGTCATGGTTGGATATCTGGGCTGTTTTCCATGTTCTTGTGATGGTGAATAATGCTGCTATGAACATTGATGTACAAATCTCTGTTTGTGCCTCAGTTATCATTTTCTCAGGGTATATTCCAAGCAGTGGAATAGCTGGGTCATGTGGAATTTTTGTGTTCAGCTTTTTGAGGAAGCACCAAATTGCCTTCCAGAGTGGTTGTACCATTTTATAATCCCACCAACAATGTATAAGAATTTCTATCTCTCCACATCCTCTCCAAAACTTAAACTTTTGTCCTGTTAAACTTTGTCCCTGCTACTGGAGTAAGATGGTATCTCATTGTGGTTTTGATTTGCATCTCTTTTATTGCCAGTAATTTGGAGCATTTCTTCATGTGTATGTTGGCCATTTGAATAGCTTCCTCCGTGAAAATTCTTTCCATGTCTTTTGCCCATTTTTTAATTGAGTTTTTGGTCTTTTTCTTATGGAGGCCCAGAGGTAGTCTGTAAACTTCCGTTATGAGACACTTGTATTAGATGGTATTGCCTAATGTTTGTTCCCAGTTGGTGGGGTTTTTTTCACCCTTTTGGCACATGTTTTTGATGCATGCAGGGATTTAATCTTTAGAAGGTCTCATTCATCAAATTTATCCTCTCCAGATTGTGCATTTCTCCTGTATTTGGCAGTCTCTTTATACCATAGACTCGGGTTTCTAATCTTGATCCAAGTTTGTCTTTTATGAACTTTATGGTTTTGGACTTTACTCCCAGGTCTCTGATCCATCTTGAGTTGATTTTTGTGTATAGTGTGAAATGTGGACCCTGTTTCAGCTTTGTGCAGGTAGCAGTCCAGTTTTGTCAGCACAGCTTGTTGAAGAGGTTGTCATTTCCCCATTTGATAGGTTTTATTTTCTTGCTGAATATCAATTGACCATAGGCAGCTGGGTCTATTTCTGGGGTTCTCAGTTCTGTTCCATTGGTCTATGTGCCAATCATTGTACCAGTACCATGCTGTTTTGGTTACCATTGCTTTGTAGTAGGCTGGGGTTTTTTTCCCCCTTGCCTTTGATTTTGAGTCTATCTTTCTCTTCTTATTTTAAATGTGTGTAGCATAGGCAATATATTGATGGGCTTTGTTTTTTTAATCCATTCTGCTACTCTTTTTCTCTTAATTGGTGCATTTAATCCATTTACATTAAGTGTTAGTATTGTCAGGCTAGGTTTTACTTTTGTCATTTTTGCTGTGTTTCTTTTTCTGTAGTTTCTGGTTACTGTGGTCCATGAACTTTAGTGTTTCCCTGTTAATGACTTCACTTAAAATTTCTTGTAGTTTTGGTCTTGTTTTCATAGATTCCTTAAGTTCCTTCTTTTCTGCAAAGGATCTAATTTCCCATTCATATTTGATGGAGAGCTATGCTGGGTATAGGATGTTTAACTGAAATTGTTTTCTTTCAGCCTTCTGTATATACCATCCCATTGTCTTGAGAAATCAGAACTTAATACAATTGTTTCCCCTTTGTAGGTGACTTATTGTTTTTCTTGTGCTGATTTTAGAATTCTGTCTTTATCTTTTAATTTGGAGAATTTGACTGTGATATGTCTTGATATTTTTCTTTTTTGGGTCTAGTCTATTTGATGTTCACTGTGCTTCTTGAATGTGGATTTCCCCATTCTTTAAAATACCTGAGAAGTTTCCTCCTAGTATTTCTTCCACAATTTCTCAGCGATGCCCCTGTCCCTCCCTCTTCTGAATACCCAGTCATATATATATCATTCTTTTTGATGTCATCTCATGATTCTAATGTTTTCATTTTCTGTATTTCTCATATCTGATTTTTCTTCTAGTATGTTTCCAGTGAGGCTCTTATCTTCTTGTTAACTGACCATCTGTTACTAACGCTTACCCCCACAATAAGGGATTTATCTTTAACTGCTCCACAAATTGCTGTCTGTCAGATACTCCTCTAAATCTGAACATTCAGATTAAGACAGACTAGGAAGAAGGATTGGCTACCCACTTCTGAAATAGCAGGCCTCTGAAAACCCTATGCACAA